ATCACCATCATCATCATCATCGACATCATCATCATCACCACCATCATCATCATCACCATCATCATTATCATCATCATCATCATCATCACCATCATCATCATCATCATCATCATCATCCTCATCATCATCACCATCACCATCATCATTATCATCATCACCACCATCATCATCATCATCATCACCATCACCATCACCATCGTCATTATCATCATCACCATCATCATCATCATCATCATCATCACCACCATCATCATCATCATCATCCTCATCATCATCATCACCATCACCATCATCATCATCATCATTATCATCATCACCATCATCATCATCATCATCATCATCACCATCACCATCGTCATCATCATTATCATCATCACCATCATCATCACCATCATCATTATCATCATCATCATCATCACCATCATAATCATCATCACCATCACCACCACCATCATCATCATCATCACCACCACCACCATCATCATCATCATCATCATCCTCACCACCACCACCAACATCATCATCATCATCATCACCATCATCATCACCATCATCATCATCAGCCAACCCCTGACTGGAACTACCTGCTTAGTAACAAAATAAATCAGTGCTAAATGAATGATTAAGTTATTTAAACTAAATGAACTGACCTGGTCAAGGTCGTGGTAGCTGGCGTCAAACCCTCCTGCTCTAGATTGTATTTTTTCTTTCTGTAATAGAGGTTCCAGATCATGGATAGCGATAGAATATGTCAGATCATTTTCTTCCATCATCTGTTCAAAGGCTTTCGTTTGTCCTTCTTTGATGTGTATTATGACGTCAGTCCCTGGGCTGACAGGAAAAACCCAAAAATCAAGCTGCAAAAAGAAAGTCAAACAATAGTGATGTTGTTGGATCAAACTGTTGAGTATCGTGCAGCTATAAATGATATGAAAACTGATATAATCTGGTTGTTACCAGGCAACTCACAGATGGGTCATTCTTGAGCAGTCCATCGAGAAAATCGACCTGCCTTTGGTCACGTGGTATAACCTTGTAAACCACATCCCTAGAATATATAAGGAATTTAAGGTTTACTGATACAATGGCAAACACACTATATCAAATGTAAACGTAGGAACAACGTAACAACGACTAAAAACAAGGCAAAACTAGCTGATGAAAAACTAAAACATAATAAAGACTATGATACTGTGTAATCAAAAAGTCATACTTATTTTCAGTGACATTTTGTTTGTTACCACTTTACTGCGACATAAAACCAATGTCTCAAAGTTAAGGCAAAGTTAATGTTGCCTTAGGGTTGCGGTTAGGGACACCTTTTTTACCGGTCGTTTAATTAAGCGAAAACGTTTTATAAACCCGCAACAACCACTACCAGGAGCAGTTATAAAAGTTTAAAGCACATCGTTAGATGATTTTTCAAAAAAGAAAACTAGCGGCGTTTGTATAAAATGCGGCAACCGTCGCTTTAAAAATTCACGATTTAATTGAAAATAAACGTATCATCACCGAAACAAGTTATCATGCATTATGTGATTAAACATGTATATGGAATATAATGTCTCAAGACATATAACATTTTCATTACCTTTGATTAGCAAATGAACATACAATTCCAACTGCTAGAAACAGCAAGCCAAGAACTACTTGCGATGCCCTCCTCATGATGGTGGACCGACTCGGTATAGTATACACTGAAAGCGAATGAGTCCTGCTACATGCTTTTCTTAAGTAACCTCCGTGTTGGCGATAAAAGAAAGGGTGGGTTAGTTATCTATCATTTGGCATTAGCTCGGTCCTACACCCCACGTGACCTCATGCAATTAGACTTACCAGGGGGTGGGGTGGGGTGGGGGGCATCCCCCATCTAATCTTTTTACGATAAACTTGAGGGGATTTTAACGGTTCTCAGTAACTTATAAAGACGAGGAAAAGAATTACGAAATTAGCCAAACTAAAAATTGAATATCATGAGGGGCGTATGTTACTGATATAGCCCTTGCAATCGATTTCGACAAGTATTTAATCTAGTCACTGATGTAGTTTTAACTTTTATCCGCCTTCTGTCCCCCCGTCCAACATTTGCCTTTTTTTCTCAGCTGAGTTGATTCAGTTGAACAAGGGACACTTTGAAAGATTGAAAACATTTACTTTGCATTCAAAAGAGTCTCAAGTGCATATAAAAGACATCACTTGACAACGTGATTGTAACAAAAGAACATCCGTACCGCTGTGTTAGCTTTTATTCTAAGTGTCACAATAAATGATTGAGTTTTCAAATACTCATTGCTTGGGACTTATCAAAGACTCGTTCAAATCCAATGAAATCGGTCTTATTCAGTTCATAAAACTTTCAAGCATTTTTATTCAAAATTTTCCAATTAATGACCAGATGAATATTATTATACATTTCAAATATGTTTCCGATAGATTTTTTGTTTGTTTGTTTGTTTGCATGACTTCGTGCATTTTCCCAGGCCTTAGTCTTTTAAAAATAGATATCTGTAAGGTTAACTATGTTACCTTAGTAAAATAAATAGAGGTTATCAGTCGGCTAAGCCTCTGATACGGCTATGTATTTACTGAGCCAAAATACAAGTGACGAGTAAAAATGCAAAGCTGTATCAGATGCTTAGCCGACTGATAAGTTGTTTATCATTTAATTATGCAAAGAAATGCTCAAACTCCCTCTAAACTCAGAAAGAAATGATAAAGATTAATATTATCAATTTTATAATTATACAGCTTCTCATTAATCCCATATAGGTAACTGTCCAATAATTTTTTTAATTGGACACATGTCTTGTTGATATGGGACTGATTAATTAGGCACTTATATGATTAATAGGTAATGGGATTTCATGCTCCTCAATCAAGAAATAATTAGACTCGATAAATTCCTCCGACTTCCTCGGCCTACGGCCTCATCCAATTTTAGAAGTCCTCGGAATTTTCCTCGTCCAATAATTTCTTAATTGGACAGCATGGAGTCCTATTACATATGCTTATTGCAGATGAATATTCTCCCATACATGGCTTTTTAACATATCGAGACTGGTCTTCCTGTGGATAAGGAACACTCGGAAAGACTGGGGAGGACTGGGATAAACAAGATGACAACCGACAGATCCATTCAAACTTTCATCTCGTTGTTGTTGAGTTTACTCTAAAAAAATGTATCGTGCACTTTATGATTATTCATCTAGTGAGAGTGATGTCCTTCATGTCAAGGCTGGGGATAAATTTATGTTTATTCATGAACATGACACAAACTGGTGGAGGATGCAAGCAGAAAACGGTCATGTTGGATTAGTGCCTGCAAGCTATTTGACACCTGATGAACAAGAAATGGTTTGTCTCTACATGTAATAACATCTGCCCTCTGTTTTATGTTCCAGCTTTAAATCACAGTCATTTGCAGGATTAGTGCATGAATGTATATTTATTTATTGTCATGGCTACAGTAGGATACAGTCCATTTTCTTATTTGTAAGATTAAGAAATTGTCACTATGACAAATCATTTGCAGAATATGAGTGATAATTATACAGTGGTGTATTGCTGGTTTGCAATCATTCTCAAGAGAATAAAATGACAAGAAATAAGACAGATAAGACATGATGGCCATGTTGGATGATATTAATAAGAGACTAATGCATCCAACATGGCGGCTATGAAAACCAGAACAAGTGTAATACAAAGAGAGGGGAATACAAAATACCCTGTTTCTAAATGCAATGCAAAAGTAATTTTTTCAAATAAGAATTATTTTTTTTGAACTGCAGGAAAACCCTGATGCTCGTAAGGCAATCCTTGAATCTATTGAAAGAGCAATGGAAGTTATTCATGCTCAGGCAACGAGTAATGGAGGAACATACACTAATGAACAGAGATCTAACTTAAGGTATTGCAATGCAGCAATAAAAACATATAATGGTTACCATCTGGTTAGCTTATAGCTCCCTTGCTTACAACCTTGCATTGATAAAAGCATCATTCTTCACATATCTTTTTCAGAAAACTAATAGAGCATCGCAAAATGGTCCTTTCCCAAGTCAAGCTAATAAGCAGTGAGTCACAATCAGAAACTGAGCCAAGCACTTTCCCAGTACAACCCAGCAGACCTGCTCCGAAACTATCTTCTGTGTCAAAACATTCATTGAAGAGAAGAGCTCCTCCTGTTCCCTCATCCTCTTCAGAAGAGACATCGGCAGCTTATTCAGAACCTTTGACATGTACTGATTGCTCATCGGGTATGTTGATTAATTACATAATATTCCATGTAAATGCAAAGGGCAAGCAGAATGATATTTAGAGTACAAACGCTAATAGCATGCAACATTTTGGTGCCCTAATTAGTACTAAATACAGTATCACTAATTAAACAATAAATTTAGATACAGTAACACGATTTAGTGCTATTCATTAGTCAATAGAAAACAATATACATAACACTAGTTAGTTCTAACCTTTATAGAAGAGCTTAGGCATGACACTGGTCTGCAGTCAACTCAGTGATGAGATCTTGGCGTGTAAGACACAGACCAACATGGTAAGCCATCTTCCACCATGACTCCTGAGGAGACTTGACATAATGATGAAGATATTTAGTGCTATTAGTTAGACAATAGGAAACATTATACATAATGCTAATTTTAGTGCTAATTATGTGGTTATAGTGTTTGTTGCATCACTGTGTTTACTCCAACAATTAATTACAAAGATTAACAAGCGTAATTCTTCTGTTGCAATTATTTTCAGCAATGACCAGTGAATCTCAGAAAGAAATAGTTATCCCACCCAACTTCATCACAGAACTTTTGGAAAAGCTTAGAATAAAGTAAGCATTATATAATTTAATTGTGCAATAAAGTGACTCACTTTACAGTAATTCATTTGAAATCACCCAACCAAGTTATATTTTTTGAATCAATTATGATTTTTGACTTTTCATGCCAGATTGCAATTTTCCTTGCTTATTACATGTAATTTAAAACCAAAACCTAGCTCTTGAAATTTAGTTATGAATGATAACAGGGCCATAGGCACCATTACATTATAGTCTTGCTTAAAAAAAATGAATTTTTTTGTTGTTGCTTTATTTACTCAATAGATATGTGAATCACAAAATTGTCCATACCCCACTCCTCCCCCAGCCCCCACAGAGGAATTGGGAATTTCCGAAGATGTAGGGAGGGTTAGAGAAAGAACAATATTACAGAGTTTGTTTGGAAGAAAATAATTATATATCCAGGGGTAGGGGGATCAATAATTTCTGAAACTACACTACAACTACAATGAGTGGAAAATTAGCATTGTTTCTGTAAAAATTGTTTGGATTAAAGGGATTTTCATAAACTCATGAAACAGATACCTGCATTAGTTAGTGTGTTATAGTGTATCGACAACAAAATGACACAATGGAATTAGGGTCAACTAATTTGTATTAGGTTGGTGTGTATTTCATGGGTTTATGAAAACCACTCTAAAACTGGACCAACATTACTATCATGGTGGCTACAGCCTGAATAAATACGGGACAGTCTTAATGTAATCTTTTTTTTAGTTCAGGTATTAGTTATACAACCTCATTTGTTGTAGCTGAAACTATTATAAATCACATCAAGACAAAAATACCAAGTATAGCCAATCCCATGGATACTTTACTGAGCGAAATAACCAATGAAAAGGTGCCATTTTTAGTTATTAAAGAGCATACTAATTAGCTGAGCTGAATGGGGTGTGCAGTACCCTCTTGCGACCCCAGTCATGCGATTTCATTGAGTCTCACCCTATATTAATACATATTACGATTATAAAATTATTAAAATAATTTATTTAATTTTTAATTCTGTATTTGAATAACAGTTATGATATTTAATTCTGATGATTGTTTACTCATTAGAGGCTTAACCTCAGGAGTCTGACTGCCTGAAGCTGTTACTAATCCATCGTTTGAATCAAACATTCCTTCATGAATCATTTTCTGCAACTCTACAACCCTTTCAATCCATGGATCAGGTTGTCTATTTTTCAAGATAGAAGTAAACTGAATAATCTTTTTTCTTGATGTTAATTTGAAGGAATGTGGTGTTCACTCAAATGAAAGCCTAATCTTAACACATGATGGTCAATGTATTGAAAAGGCTTTCCTGGCCTTGACAGAACATAAAGATGATGCACAACAAAGAAGTTGGGCTTTACACATGGATGAACCTGAAATTCTTGACCAGCTTAAAGAACTGCTCACTTTACTGGTACTAATATGTTTAAACACCAGTATTTACTAAAATGTTGTCATTATAAAAATAAAACGATGACAAATAGGAACTACTTATTTTTTTATACAAAATGGGTTGAATTATTTCAATGACTTTAAGTATAGACTAACATTTTTGACATCACCTTGTTGGTACTAAGACTGAGTGTAGTTTTCATCAATTTAGGGTGCTTTAAATCAAAATATATAATTGACGTAATTCTGTTTATTTTATTTCGATTATTATTAAATAAATATCATATAGTGGATGTTTTTCTCCCTGTACTGTAGTATCGGGTATTGATTGTTTTGTCATATTAACCATTTTCACATTCATTTAGGTTGATGCTAATCAGAAAGTCTCTAAAGCTGTTCTCCAGCAGAATGACTTTGAGTACCTGCAATCCACTGTTATATATTTTCAAATGGTTAGTGATATCTTGATCACATTTTACAGTACAGTACATGTAATCAGTATTAAAGCAGTGTTCCTAATCATTTATTCTGCACATCACTAAGGAGCACAGAGCAAGCATTAGGCTTCAGTTATTACAGCTGTTTGGTTGCCTATGTGGGATTGACAAAGAGGTTATTACACAGCTATTATGCTCTGTACTGCCAGGAGAGCTTGCAAGAACAATGCAAGATATGCCTCAAGGTAGGTCTGATTAATAAATATATTTACCTCCAATAATGAATGTATTTAAAAATGCGATTGTTTTTTTTTTACGAACAAGTAACTTTTTTTCAGATTTACAGTTACAGCTCTATTCATCTCTTGTTTTAACAATGATATTTTCTACAGCAGAGCCACTACCACACTGGTTGTATGGTTAGTAATCTTAAGCATAAGTACAGTCGGTGGGCTAGAATTTTAGTAGAACCATTTTAAACATTGATTTTATTTGTTCCCCTGCTAATACCTGCAAGATAAGTATATTGGAAAGTTGTATCTTAGTTTTTGCATTAGGAAATTAAAATAAAAGAGGACATTAGTTCAGTGTGAGCTGCGACGAATATTTTTTTTACTTGTCATAAAGTTGACAGTATTACTAATCAGATTATGCCTTTCTTAAGGGTGCTGCATTTTCTTTAATTTTACTGTTACTAAGCTACCTTACTATACTTGTTCTGTACTCAAGGTTTTCTTATTTATCTTCAACAGATCAGTTAGACAAGAAATTTGTTATATACCTGATTTCTTGCATAGAGAATGCCCCAGATGGTGAAGATGGAGATCAGCTTATCGATTCATTTGTAGGCTTGCTACTTGCATTTAATCAGCATTTCTCAGGTCAAACTTTTATGATTATGATTAATGTGTGCAAAAGAGTCTGATTAATTTAGTATTTTTTACAATCTATAGTTGCCCTATTAAAAAACATTAAAAAATGACAGTATTAATTGCTTAGAAGGATCAAGTGATATGGAAAAAGATATAAGTGTAAGCCAGGCACTAAAATGACAGTATTAATTGCTTAGAAGGATCAAGTGATATGGAAAAAGATATAAGTGTAAGCCAGGCACTAATCAGATTTTTTTTGTTTGATAAATTTAACTGCAATTTTCAATGTAATACAATATGCAAATGCAATGCTTCAGATAAGATAGAAGGAATAGAACCTACTTTATGGTAACATTACAGTTTTATTTTGTCAGTATTCTAATGAACCCTGGATTCTTGCATCTATTTTTATTATTTCAGATCTGAAGAAAAACCTTGTAATGAATGTGTTAGCAACTTGTAAGACCACTAAGAATGTCAGTGAGAAGGTTATGCTATTAATAAACAGAGAGGGTAAATAATATACATTTTAAAACCTATTATCAATTAGTGTCACATGAGACTCAGCATTTTCAGTTCCAAGTGTTTTCAATGTGTTGAATTTTGACATATTATTATCTTCCAGTGCCTCAAGATAAGATAAATTATGTCAAAATTATGTCTTTTAAAAAGTGCTATTAACCCTTAAAGTTTTGAGGAACATCATCAAATAGAACTTTATTTAACAAATAAAACAGATTTTTCCGTGCGCTTCCTAAGTGCTTTATAACGGAACAGAGGATGGAAAAAGCTGTTTTATTTGTTATATTATATAGTTACTAATTTTATTTTGTATTGAATTTATTCACACAAAAAGATAGATGGCTGCAGGATCTAGCAGCCATCTTTGCACACGCCGATTGCATCAGCACTGTGCTTTGTTCACCAATAAAGCACAGTTTTTGACCAATCAGAATGCACATCCTATCCTAACTATATAATAAATAATTATATGAAATAGTTGTATACAGGATTGAATGGGACATGCATTTCCAAGTGCTATTTTCTGTCAGACATAAAGGGAGTTATTGTCAATTACATCAGCGTGCACCATTTTTTTGAATACAGGCTCAGGCAAACTAATAAACCAATCAAAGAGTGTGTTATACATTGTATCATGGCTATGTTATAAATTATATCCATTATAATTACTGTAGATCCTTATGTTCAATAACATTCACATTTGGACTAACCCTTACAATTTTATCTTGTTCTAGAGGATCCAGTTGTGCTGTTTGATTACCCTCGCAACTGTTCTAATTCAGTGCTCAAGTTTCTCTTGGATGTATTTGCTAGTAAAGATACATCAGGGCTTTTTTTTACCTCAGATATGATGGTGCTTCTGGAAATTTTATTAAGACAAATTACTGATCTCAACCCAGGAAACCAGGTATTAAGTGTTTGTGTAATTATTTAATTCATATTATTTTAAAGTAAAACAGCTTTGTCAAAAAAAAAAAAAAGTTTAGAAATACATAATGTTGGTAGGGCTTTTTTGTTGGGGTCAGAGATAAAAAATTAAAAATGTATGCTTTAGTGGTCTCTCTCTGCTTCATGTTTAGAGATGAATCCCATTGCCCTTACCATAACATGTGAGATTATTTAACTATATAATTAATATGTTCAAAAACTATTAATAATTTATAAGCCTTCATAAGTCCATGGTTGGTCATTCTAATTGCCCTATTTCACTATGACGTCACATCAAAACAATCTATTGTTTAAACGCAAAGGACCATGGTCGTTGGAGGGGATCAAATCAACGCAAATTCACCGAAAATTGTTCTTAAACCTGTATCAATCCATGAAGAGAAGTAGAATAGCCAGCAAACGCTCAGAATATTATTTAGTACATATTAACACATATCATATCTGAAAACTGGGCCATTTTAGATTAAACTGTTTTGCTAGGAACGAAATTTGTCTAATTTTCTATTGGATTTGGCAATTCTATCCCCCACATAAACAAGCAGTGAAATAGGGCAATTCAACCAAAGGTTTGTGAATTGTTGATGAGTTTTTGAAGCTGTTCAATAATCTTGCAAATTGTGTTTTATCAGGATTGAAACCACTAGATTGGCTATGCACCTTATGGTTTTAAACTTGATTAGACACTCCGTTCATTTATTCAGCATACCTTATGAAACTTATTATTATATGTTTGTATATAACTAAGGATTTGATTTTCTTTTTGTATATTTTCACAGCTAAGAACACAATACCTTTCCTTGCTACGACTGGTTTTTACTAATACTGATTATTTTGAGCATAAGCATTTATTTTCTGAAATCGAATTGTGCCTCAAGAGAATAGAGAAAGAAGATGAAGCAGAATCAGCCCATGACTGCCAAGTTGTGAGAAAGATTTTTACCCAGTTCCATACTCATTTTTCTTAATCAATGGGTATCTTATAACATACTAGTAAAGCAAGGGAATTGGATATTTAAATGAAATCTCTCAAAATATTAAATACTTAAAATCTCAAAAGTAGTCAACCTTTTGGATTGAAATATTTTTGAGGAAAAAATCTTCAGATTTTCATTTACTCAGCCACTTTAGATACTGAACAACAACAAAAAAGTTTGTGTATTTTGAGAAAGTTAAAATGCTATAATTTTATGTAATTCTGTTAGAATATGAAATCATCTTTCAATGATCTGTAATATTTTATTATTTGAGATGGCATAATGATAAAAAGCCTTTTTTCCCCATTTCATCAATCAAATTTGAAACCTTTCTTAGTAAGGTCCACTTTTGCTTGTTGTATTTCCTGTGAAGAATAAAACAAAGCATTGACTAAGTGTATAATGATGGGCAATTTATTTAATAACTATTTTACCGAAGGGAAAGCGATTATTGGTGACTAGTTACCGAGCAGTTGGTTGGGTAGGGTTAGGGGTGGGGGTAGGGTTAGGGGTGGGGGTATGACTGAAAGAAAATGCATGGCAACGGAAAAAGAGCTCGGAAAAAATCTTCCGGCGTAGCGGTTAAATTAGAAGTACAACTAACCTGTTTTAAGGATTCTGAAGCTTCTATGCAATCATTAAAAGTTGCCACTCTAAAACCAACCACTACTAGAGAATAACACTGAAAAGTAAGATCAAAATAAGCTTAGCTTAAATTGTCAGTATTGTCAAACCGGGAATCAAATAATGTGATGTTAGTAGACATGAAAGATCGAGACTTACCCCAAAAACAATAATAGCATAAACTGGCATCTATATTTCAAGAAAAGAGACAAGGAGCTTCAGTTTATTAAAGCATCAAGGTTATATCAATATATTGATATTATTTAAGCTTACCGGCCAAATGACTTCTTTCAATCGATGAGAAACAGTGAATGGAACCATTCCTGTTAATAAAGATATCCAAGTAGAAAAAGCAAGCACAAAGACTAAAAGCCACTCCATAAGTTTTGTCATTACTGTAGTTTGTACAAGCGATCCCGTGCTTTTACGAAAAAAAGTCTAACTTAGAATAAGCGTCAGTTCACTTCTTTTATGTTCGTGTACATTTTGTCAGCACGAGTCTTCCGGCCTTTTGGTCAGCGGATTATTTTTGGTTACCACATCCCACGGTCGTAATACATATAGGAAGCCCATAACTTTTGACACAACATCTCCTTTCCACCGTAGAACAATAGAATTGATTTAACTTAATACACCGTATGGTTTGTGATGTTTAGAAACTTAAATGTCAACATTTACTCAGACGAAGGACTAACGTCCGAAACGTCAGTTTCTAAGCATCACAAACCATACGGTGTATTAAGTTAAATCAATTCTCCTATTGTTCTATTCCAAACACCAAAGCGGTTAACTAGTTTATCTAGTCTTTACCATTTTCCACCGGCAATGTTACCTAGCTGGTTTAACTCTTTTAGTTATTCTAGGTAGCTCCTACTATTCTTCTGTAAATATACTCATATTTATATATTTTCTCCTCATTGTAATCTGTGGTGCAAATAAAGCACATTGTTGTTGTTCGTACTAGCATCTTTAATACTTGTTTGAAATGAATATTTTGCAGTGACCTCAGGTTTTCATAGCCTCCGTTGCAGACGTCCTGCGGGGTTCGGTTCATCCGAACCGAACCCCGCAGGACGTCTACAATGGAGGCTAAGGTTTTCAGTGACTAACTTTATTGAAATAAGTATATTACACTAACAGGCACGTTAATATAATTATTTAAAACACATGAAAGATCACATACGCAAAGAGAAACGATTTGATTGTAATAAAGATCAGAGTTTGATCTGATTGATTGCCCTAAATGTGTAAAAAGAAAAAAAGAGAGAAAAAAAAACCCCTAATTATTACATTTTAAGAGCCTGATAACTTTTTTATTCATTTGTTTCCTATCATTATCATCTCTCTCACTTGCCCGCGAACTCGCTCGTTTGCGAAATGATACAGCATAAGGAAACTTGTGTATAAAAACGCTAAACTATTTATATTTTCATCATTTTATCTAAGACTTCGTTGAAATGGTCCCAGTAGGTGTGCCCACACATTTAAATTTTACTTTCCAACTAGTGCATTAAATGACTTTTTAAATCCTTGTTTCTTCGATAAAATCAATTAATTAACAGCGAACTTTGCATACTGCTTTGCTTCATATATCTGTGCTAGTTTAATAAGCTAGTTTTTCATTGTATGCTGAGCTGGTAAGAGAACTAAATATATTGAAAATAATTTCACAACTGATATACCAAAGTATGGTATATTAGATGTTGTAATCAAGTTATTTTCATCATGCCATGAAATGGAGTACATGTATTGTTTGTTGTTTTACCTCTAGAACTCACTCAGTGACATGTAAAATATGGACTAAATACTACGAGTGAATTTCATGAGTTAAGGAAAATCATAGCCATAATATCCAGTTTACGTATCTACTTAAAATGTATTTATTGACATGATCACTAGTAACACAAATAGTTAGCTATGTATGCTAGTTATGAGAATAGATACACTCACACTTATTAAAGCTAATCTTTTTGATAGTATGTTTATAAACTGGTAATCATAAATTTATTTATAGAATGAAAACTAATTTATATTTTTGACCAATTCTCTATGATTACCAGTTTACTGGTCAAGTGTTGTAGATGTATCAATAGTTTCTAATAACACTGATGATTTCAAGTTCAAAATAATAACTTCCTGAAACTGGTCTAATAAAATATCTGATAGGATTGGGAAGTGTTGCTCCAGCATCATCATTTGCATTTTGTTGATTACTTGGAGAGTTCATTAGACAACCAGTCCAGACCTTCATATAGGCCAGTACCCTGGGTAGCACAGGCACTCTGTACATAGAACTAAAAAACAATCAAAATTAACTTTATTTAAAGAGGATGACACATGTAGGCACAACCTTATAACCTTGTGGACCTCTAAGTTTAACATATTTGACCATTTTTAGAGTAAAAGGCAACAACTTCTACTCAGATTTTTCAAGACCCTAAGTGTGGGTACAGCTGAGGCTTGAGCCCACAACCTCCAGCACAACGCCAGTGCCCAACCAACTGAGCCAACTGAAGGCAGTCAATTGTCCATTCCCTTCCATACAATGTATTAATACCACTAGCCTTTTGGTTATTGTTGAAAGGCACCCCAGATTTAAAGATCAAAAGGGCCCTATTTTCCTTCCTAATGGCTTTTTAAATTTTAACTAATTTATCAATGCAAAGGATAAAAGCAATCTTGTGGTTCTAGAGCACTTACACTATGTTATATGAACGAGTCAGGAAAATTAAGAGTATTGTGATAATTTAGTGGTATATTCAAGCTAAAGGATAATTATTATCCATACCCTCTCCCCATATTTTTAATTTTTTTAAGACCACCCTTCCCCCCCCTCTCCCAATCCAATTTGGTTATTTTATCTGAACCACCTCCCACCCTTCGAACATTCCGAATTCCTCTTGGGGGGGGGGAATGGATAATTTCCGGAACTACACAATAATTAATGAGAAAAGGCTTATTTAGTTTAAAGTGGGTGCAATAGACAGCTACCTGTACATTAAAACAGAAAGTACTTACTTTTCTTTGTCGAGTCTGAGTTAGGCCAAGCTTTTCTGTAATGTCATTGACTGATAAAGCATTAGGGAGGTCTTGCTTATTTGCAAATACTAACAAAAAAGCATCACGGAGGTCTTCTTCTTCAAGCTGTGCAAACAAGTAAGATTATTCACCTTGTTACTATTTATAGTACATACGTACAACATGTAGGAAATTAAATGCTCCCCAATTTTTTTCAAACTAAAATAGCTTCCTCAATTTTTCCTAGGTACAAACATTTGAAGTTTTTTTTGTTATCCTACTGATAAATCATAAATAAATGACTACTGTATTAAAGAATATCACAACCCTTTTCTTATATCTATTGTGTTCTATTGTACATTGATTTTATTGGTACATTTTATTGGTACGTCAGGGTATGTGTATGATACACAGGTGCATATACTGTGCTTATTAAAAAAGTATTGATATCTTGGTTCATG